CAGCTCTGTGAGCAGGTGCCTCATTTCCATGCCTTGCTGTGTGTCCTCTCTGATTCAGAATGATGTCTTTCTCCACTGAGGTGGAGTCCTAAAGCAGTAGCATGGTTCAGGTAGGCTAACCGCAGGGAGCATTTCAAGTATATGCCTACCAGAATGGGTCCTAAGGAAAAATATGAATTCTTTCTCTGTGCTTTGTCAAAACACAGACCCAGCAAATTCTCCTCCCTGTGGACTCATGATGCATCATTTTCCTGAGTTTTAAATTTCTTAAAAAATGCTTTCACCTTGGCATCGTGTGACCCATAGTTTGAAGCCATTGAGTACAACTAACTCTGTGGGATTATTGTCTATTTCGGCTGACATTTGATTTTAGGAATGGATTAACATGGATGATTTGAATTAGCAAGCATGCTAACCTAGCATAGGGCTTGAATCAGAACAAATCACAGGGCTTCACGCCACCCCTTTGGGGGAAAATCTGAATTGTTCCCAGCACCTGCCACCTGTTGCTTCCAGCACACCTGTCCATTTCCAACTAGCTCTTTGGAGACAGTAAATATCTGCCCTTTCAATGCAGTAAGTGCTTGGTAGTCACCCAGCTGTTGTCATGGAAAAGGCTCTTTGAATTTTCTATTAATACCTGAGGCCTGATCATCTATATGGAAAAGAAACAGCTCCCTGGCATCAGAAGCCTGTGTTTATTCCAAGCCTCATTTTCTTTACTGGAAAGCCAACTATTTGGCATCCACCATATACCAGGCACCTTGCAGGAGACTGGCAGCTCTGCCCTAAAGATTCACTGGCTTGGGGTGGGTGGAGGACAGGTTATCACAGTGCATGATGGCAAGTGTTTTTATAGATGTACAGACAAACTGCCACGGAAGCAAAGAATTGGGGTAATTATTCTGCTTGAGAGTGGATGGGATTGGCTATAAGAAAATGCTTCTTTGGAGAAGCAACATTTTTTTTTAATTAAAATTTATTGGGGTGACAATGGTTAGAAAAATCACTTAGGTTTCAAGTGTACAATTCTGTAATGCATCATCTATATGTAACATTGTGTGTTCACCACCCAGAGTCTGCTCTCCTTTTGACCTGGGTTTTAAAGTTTGAACAGGAATTAAAATGAAAAGGCATGGAGGTTTGAAAGAGCATGGATTAGGACAATTCAGAATTAAAAACCATCTACCCATTATTACCCTTGTAATGTGAGGTCATAACCATATTAGGTGTCCTCTAACTGTGTCTGTGCAAGGGATAAATATTGGGTTGTTTTTAGTTTTCTGTTCCTGTGTAACAAAGTACCATAAATTTTGCAGCTTAACACAATAGCCATTTATTATCTCATGGTTTCCACTAGTCAGGAG